AATACTTTTGCATCCATTTCACTCTGGATGAAATATGAAAGGAGGTTTGCTAGATATGATTTGAAGAGTTTTGTTTAATGTTTGCGCCTCTCCCAGTTTGTGCAATAAAAAAAAAACACTCAAAAAATTCACATTTATGCTGTTTTACACAATTTAAGGATCTGACTCCAATTGATGAAGCAGTTTCACCCAGCTGATTTGCACTAAACCTACTGAGGAGTGCTCAAGCAGTAAGGATGGCAACCTGCTGCTGCAGAAGGTCACTTCTGAAAAAGCGACCTTAAAGTATGCTTGATGCAGACAGACACTCAGTTATCTACCTACCTTCCAAGCTGGAGAGAGAGAGGACCATCCTGATATAGAAGCAGTTACAGATGCCTTAATCCATCCCCAAATCCAAGCTAAAATAGCCTGCCCCTCAATCAGGAAGGTCTGGAGAGAAGACAATGGGGGTAGTTCACTGGATCACAGCAGCCCAAATGAGCAGTAAGGCAAGGGGCAGATAATGGGGAGTGTCTCTTCCTGGGGAAGTATCAGTATTTCCACAGGGATCTGAAGGCAGGTACATTGAGAGTGGGATCGGAAAAAAAAAAGGCTGCACTGATGAGGTTGCTGGCCATGACAGAAGTGCTGTTTAGCAGAAGAAAGATGGGGTGAAAAAATAAAAACAAAATCCTCAAGCAAGTAAAGGGCTATTGAGCACATTCAAAAGGGAAGGAGCTTGTTCTGAGAAAGAGGCTGTGCTCATGGCTTTGGGGTAGACCTGAACATCTCCCTCCCATGCCAAGGGCAATGGGGGTGACTGAGGGGCAGGAAGCACAGACTGCACAGCACGAGGACAGGCAGAGCCATGCATACGCTGCAGGCACCCACAGACAAATCTCAACTGCCTTTGAGCGCTTGTGGCACCATCCCCTCAGTGTAGTCTGCATATAGGTACTTCACAACTGAGAATCTCCCTGCCCCAAGACCTTTGGCTTACACCTCAATTGTCATATCCTGCCTAAGTCTCAGATATACCATCTCACCCACAGGGTGGGCAGAGACCAGGAGCCTGGGGACAACCAACCAACTGACCTCCTCTGGGTCATTTTGGGGGGGAACAGGGCTGAGGATTCAGGTGGGAGGAGGATGGATGCTGTTAGAACTGGTGGGACCTGGGCCTCAGCACTGTGTGTCAGAGGGTGATTAACAAAAAAAAATGGAGAAAATGAAAGAATACCTGCATGCATGCTAGCTCTCGCTAAGGCAGCTGGGAACAAATTCATCATAGCTAATTGATTACTCAAGCGTATTCTTAGTTTATACGATAGATATTAATGGTGAACTAAATACAAAGGAAGATGTTACAGAATTTGGTCAGTTGGTGCATGACCTCTTGATAGCTCTTCTGCACACCGAAGATGTAATGCTTCCAGCAAGATGAAATACTAGTACCGTGGGAAAAGTAGCGGACAGGGCATAAAACATTTCTCTTCATGCCTGATTCCAATACCTGATTAAGCAAGCAAGCAAAATATGAGAGACGTTGTTCAAAAGAGAGACCATCAAGGTGTACCTAATTCTGGAAACTCTTATTACAGAACATACATACACACTACAGAAAGAAGGAAGGACCCTGAAAACCCAACATCCTGTTGTTGCATCTTCTAGAAAAGTACAAACAAAAAACCATTTCAAAAATAGTCTGGCAAATGTTTCTCAGTTCTCATTCATAACAGAGTTCTCAAACGCCAAAGCTCTTTGACCACAAAGATGTTACCTTAGCATGAGTGGGAGACATCCATTTCTACAAGAATATCTGAGAATCTTTTTCCTAAAGCACCATCAGGAATATAAATTTTCAGAGAGTAAAGTAATTTCTTGTCCCACAGCTAGTTAGAAGGAGTATACAAAAATGCAAAGGGATCTCATCAATGTCAGTCTAAGTGAGTTAAGCGTAAGATAGCTCTCTATGGAATGATGAAACTGCATAAAAAGTGATCTCTTATTCCACTAGCCTCTCCTTATCTTCCCCTTCAACTTATTTCTGCAAGCAGGAGGAGGAGAATGAGGAAAAAAAAAAAAACCACATAAGTCTAAAATTACCCAAGCTACATGTAAAATATGATTTTTAATTTTAAAATACAAAAAGCTTTTTATGATCACATCAAACATGTATCACTCCTCCGTTTTTTAAATTAAAAATTTACCAATTTCTCCTTTTGGAGAAAACAACTGCTGTCTTCTCAAACTATTTAAAACCCTGAACAGATGTAGAGCTTGCATCATTGCAACCACACACAGAAATACTTCCACTGTGTAAGAAAAAAATATAGTCTTCATAGCTTAATCCTAAGAAAAAAAAGCTTCTGGTGTAGTGCCAATTTATGGTCTGTGGTGCTGGATTCTTTCTCAAACATCCGTCAGAAGTACACAGCTCAATAGAATGAGGCACAAACTTTTCACTATTTAATTGATACCAGGTTAAATGCAAAATTCAGTTGGACTGCAGTTAAGTGTGGTAGCAGAGCTTAATAAATGCTGGCTCCATCTATTTTAGGACCTGGGGACACTTCCCATCTAGGAGGTCTGAAGATTCGTGGTGAGTACAGCCCAGATCCGTTCTGGGATAAAAATCGAGTGTGCCTCATCCTCTCCCTACACTGTGGTTTCCAAGCAAAGGAAACTTTCCATGCAGACCTGAGGAGCAGTCCCGGAGAGCTTCTGAAAGTCCCCTAAATGACCGCACATACGGCAAAGGACATCTTCCCCACCATATAGCCATAGGGTGCTGAGTACCCCAATGTAAGAGACAGATTCATCACTTGTAGTCTCAACATATAAAACATCAGTGCTTATCATTTGAGATTTGTTGACGTGAAGTTTGGAAAAAATTCTTGTAAGAAAGACAGAGTTGAGAATCAGATATACATTTAGAATTTGTTATCAAGTGCTTATTTTCTTCATTTTACAATTTAACTTATGCACGTTCAACAATACCTCAAAACAACAGTCAACGAGATTGTGCAAATCTCACCCTCCCCCACCTAAAAGGGGTTGCATCTTAATGAGAAAAAACTTCTTTATATTTGGAAGTGGAAGACCTGCTGCCTAAACTGTCACTTGCATAGTTGTTAGCAGATGATGTATGTGTGTCTTGGTCAATTTGTCATTGCCCCAGATGATAAACTGCTCTAAAATTAAGAGGATGCTCTCTCTTTCTGGCTGTAATTTCAGAAGACAAGAGAGTGATAGGAAATGTTACCGGGAAGTTACCATAGCAGTGCTGTAGTTGGCTGTCTACATCATTTTTTCTTTCCCTTCCTTAAGGGAATGTTTGCTAGACTAAATACAATTTCAGATATTTCTAATGTTTGGGCTATGAAAGGGATACTGTCAGCTGATATATGGGAATGGAATATAAGGTATTAAAGTGCATTCTGGGGTCTTCCAGGATAAGCATTTTAGTTCAGTTAAAAAAAAAAAGTGAGTGGGAGTTTTGATAAAATATAATACTTATGAAAATGGTTTATTGACATTTAACAGGGGTAAGGGGAAATAGAGAACAGAAGAAACAGATGCAACATTTCATCATATATTGCAAAGGTAGGGAAGAAGATAAAAATCAACCCTAAATATGACCTGTTCCCTGTAGCAGTTTTATGATCAAAGGAATTTTTTCCTTTCTCACTATCTTTTATCTCTTCTTTCTAGCTTTATGTATTTGCATTTTATTCAGTTTGGTCAGCAAATTAGATTGGTCAATGCCCCTTAATGTTCAGAGACATCTGGAAATGTCTGCAATTGATAAATATATAGCTGCTGCTGCCAAAATCACATTGGGATGTGTCATGTGCAGGTTACCTTTTCAGCTCAGGTAATATTTCATTCTTTTCTTTCAGAAGCCTTTCCTACGATAGTGAACAACAGTAGCTCCAAAACTCTCTGGAATTCTGTAATAATTTAACATTACCTGTAATGTGAAGTGACACAATTAAGGGTCACAGGTGCACCCTGAATTCCTTTTTTCACATCTTCTGTACAATATTACCCTTTCCACTCTGCTTTGCATTGGCACAAAATGATAATATATTTTACAATGCGTTTCTTTATCAAAGAAACAGACATCTCATACCTGAAACAGGTCCATAAATAAAATTATTCCAGTAACAACACAAAGTGAAAAGATGGTGATATCAAATAAGTTCTAAATACAGAAATAACTATACTGAAGTCCAATTGATCTGTACACAAACGAACAAGTGAGCAACTTTGCTAATGTCCATAAATTAACTACACATTTCAGGAAATTTCTAGGTCCTTTTGATCACACACTGCTACCGGAAGTAGCAGAATAGATCCTTTGTTCATAATAAGCTTCCTGAAAAATAACCTTAATAAGACACTGATTTAATGAAATAAAAATTTCTGCACCTTTACCAAGAGGCATTTCTCTGCAGAAGTGACTGCAGTGCGTGGGCCCAGGCCAAACCCCCGAGGTGCGCCGGTGGGCACGGGCGCCCGCCAGCAGCGTGCGGGCAGAGAGGCAAGTCAACATGAAGCATGATGAGGGGCAAGGGGCAGCAGGAGAAACCACCTGGTGTGACAACGACTTCAGAAACACATTCTCAGTACTCAGGATCAGGCCACAGCTCTGCAAAGTCAGCAGGACACCAGTCCCCCATTTTGGGGGCTTGCAGGGCTGCAACATTCGTATGGTGGCAGTGTTGGTAGGGCAGCAGGTGAATGACCTGCAGGAACTGGCAGAGCAGAGTGACCAGAGGACACAACAGACAAAACTACAGGAAAAGATAGATATTAGAAGGTCTGTGAGTTAAGTAGAGGGCTTGCATTTAACTGTCAGCCTACATAATTATATGAATCATTTCTTTTCAAACCATAACACTAACATCTTTCTCTTGTGTTCCTGCTGCAGTTCCTCTGGTATTATTCCTCAGATCACAAACAGGCATTTGAGTAAAATAGCTATCCAGGCAAAATGTAGCAAACCATCTCACCTATGACAGATACACATCCTAGCGGAGCAACAAGGGCAGCAGGGGCAAATCCGTAGGCTGTGAAATTCCCCATCTCTCCAAGCGCCAGGAGGATAATCCCACACCACCATAACTTGCTCGTGTAGTAGGGCTTTGGATCTGCTTGGCAAGCCAGTCGCAGATGAGCGCATTTCTAGAAAATTAATTATTAGGAACAGCCATGAAAAGAAAGACTTCCACTGTGTTCTTATGTATAACAAAAGTGGGGTAATTAAGGGAGCTGTCAACTTCAAATTCCAGGTATGTCAGGGTTTTCTTTTTAAACACGCCTTTCAGCTTGATATCGCAGACATACTGCTTTGTGTAAATCGAACGCTGCTTCATCTTTGTGCTTTCATAGCCCTGCTTTAAATGTCTGAAAAACTAGACCTCTGAATAAACCTGGAAAATATTAAGTGAATATACAGTATTCAGAGCTGTCACTGTAAACCTCTGCTCTACTCTCAAAGCATAGCTGTTTCAGAAAGACCTAGTTTCACAGACTACCTCAGCAGGTTCTCCTGTGAACCTGGAAATACTCAAAGCGAGGAGATGGGGCAGGATCAGAAGTGCAGCAACAAACCAGGAGAAGGTGACCAGACGGTACAGTGTTCCTTGCTCCCTGATGCATATTCTAGCCAGAAATACAATTTCAGGATGAAAAAGCCAGCAATTATCCACCGTTGCTGTTGGGAGGACTCTCAATTCACTAGGTAGAACTTAGGTTTTCGACACAATCTCCTGTCTGACCTTAGAAGATTGCGGGTAAAGCATTATTTTCAGAAGGAAAACCAGCCGCACCTATGTCAACAGATATAATGTATGCTCAAGTAATACTTCATCAACACTTCTGTTACGTGGAATAGGCATTATTTACACATGTTGTAATTGTTTTCTCTCTTGTACGGCAAGAACCTCTATACAACAAGGATAATTTGGCTTTGATCACAGTGGTCTTCTAAAACAGAGTCCAGGATGTCATCATCAGGAAGGCATCATTACTGGGAGGGATGCAATGTTTACCACATTGGTTCTGCAGAACATAATTTCCATTCTCAAATTCCTCATCAGCCTCTCCACAAAAAAGCTGGAAACCAAATGATACAGCTATTGTAGCATAAGTGGCTATAAAATGTATCTTTTCCTCTACCAACTGATATTTGATTTTGGAAGTGACCCTGCAGAGCCTCAGGGAAGTGATAAATCATTTTCCTCATACTCACACTCTACTCTGTAGGCTACACTCACGGGCCAAACAATAACGTCTGTGATATACCATAGCCTCAGTCGCTCCTCTTGTTCAGAGGATGAAGCACATTATCGCGGCTTCATGATATGGCGTATGTTCAAGGGATGAAGTCTTGAGAAGAAGTTTAGCCCTTCAAGGAGAAAGTGAGCGTGAGAAAAATCAAACTTCCCTCAGCCACAAGCCAACAATTCAGTAATATCCAGGATTTTGCATGTTTCATTTTTATAAACAACAAAAAAAAAAGAGTAAAAATCTCATTGAAATCGATATTAAATAAAATTGTTAAATCAAGAATCTTAGCTTCTGCTGAAAACTGATTAGGACAAATTCGTAGCTGAATGCTGAGCTCTGGTTTCTCTCCCAAATTCGCATGGGAATGAGACTAACTTCAGAGAGCAAACTGTGGTTGAAAAGATGTGTGATGAACATCAGAGGGTGAGCTCAGCAGCTCCCCTGCAGCCTTCTTTCTCCAGCAGTCTGTGTTCTCGGTGTAGTATTGTGTACAGATAGTGTTTGAAATGGAGGCTGTTTAGGTTATGTTACAGCTGAAATACAGCAAAGAGTGGGCTCTTCTTTAGCTGACAACTAGCTAGAGGGAAGATTGGGAGGACAACTGCACAGTGGAAAGGGGAGAGATCAATAAAAGTTGGCCTGTCCATTTAATATTAATAAATCTTGAGGTCTATAGAATGTAATTATTCATTTTTATAAGATGTCTGTTTCATTACTAAAGGGAGGAAAAAGCTATTCAGAGGATAAATAAAAGCTCCAGTGGAAACTGTCTGTCAAGGGCAATGCAGAGCAATTGGGTTTTCCTTAACAGCTTATGTAGCGTTTAAAAGCTGAAGGAGTTCAAATCCAGTAAATGCTGTTAATGATTACAAGTTAATTAGCAGCCAGTTTGCATGCCTCAGTACATCTCCTAGCAAAGCATCCGCTTTGGCACTCGGTGCCCTTAGCAGACAAAAGACGTGGTGTCTGAATTACCTCCTCATTATGAGCCAGAGTGAATTTCCACTTCGTCAACCAAAGTTTTTCCATTGAAATGGAGCCTCTCCTACTACTGTTGCCTTCAACAACTAATCACAGATCAGAACTCATATTGTAGAGGCAGAAATGATTTCAGGATGCATGCCATGTCTGGCTAAACAGACTTCTTTCTGGGGGATTCTCTAACCAGAGATACTTAAAATAGAAGGGGATTGTTGAAGAAGCTTCCTGTTTTAATAAAAGGAATTATTATGTATGAAAAATTTCATATTTCACAGCTTTCTGTTTGATCCTTTAAAGAAAGAACAAAGAGTAGTTTTCTGTGAGAGAGATACTAAACTCATATAGAATTCAAGTTAGCAAAAATATTTTTTCTGTGCAACTAACACAAAAGGTCTTCTGTGCTTTAAGAAGCACGTGTGAGAAGGCATAAAAATACCATGAAGGCTACAAGATATAAATTATAATGTATTATTTTTCTGTTGAGTATGTTTTCTAATTATTAATACAGATATGATGTTATAAATCTCATCCTACAACCCCTTGCCATTGTTGTAAGGTCAGCACCTCTGATAGCTTTTATGATTTAAAGTAATATTTTCTTATATCATTTATCCTACTTGCTGTATGAAAATGAAGTTGGTCAAAATTGTTCTGGGGCCCACTACTACATGCAACTACATTCCTCTGTGCATTTATTTACATTAATTACTTCATTAATCAGTCCTTAAGATTTTGTGGTCAATTCCATTTTAGATTTCCACACACTAAGACAGGTTCACGTGACATCCAGTGGGACCATAAGCAGGTCACAACTGGCATTTCCTTATGATGGATTGCAAGGAGAAGGAGTAGTTATGAATTTTTATTTTGTTGCCAAAGGGGAATCACAGCATAGAAAAGGTTGAGAGCTATCATGCCACTAAAAACAACAGGAGGACAAGCTGAAGAAAGAGAGAGAACATTTATAAAATGCAACAGAAATTGTATTTTGAACTTCACCATAAAAACAAACTATAACATAAGCTCCTTGGCTCAATACAAATAACTCAAAATAAAGAGAAATAATTTCATACCTGTATACTCAAAGACACACTAATCAGAAAATTTCCAGCAGCGGCCAGTAAAACTCCCAAGAGCTGAGTCTGCAAGATCACAAAACAAAGAAATTCAAAATTCTTATGTGTTCAAGAAGAGCAATATAACAGTGGGCTTATGCTAACACGTTATAACAGAATCAAAAACAAATTATTGCATTTTTCAGTCACTAAGTTCATGCTACACTGAGTGTACTGATAAAAAATCTCTCTGCACAATTGACAATAAAAATAATTAAGCTGGTACATTTTGCCTAGCACTTGAGCAGTAAACAACTGGGAGCTGAAAGAGCAGCCCAGGGCAGAAGCTGGTTTTGCTATCCTTCAGTAGAACATGTTCTTAACTCTCACAAAAGAAAAAGCTAGATAGGTTTCAATTGAACACTATACACATGCATTATTCTTGTCCAAAAAAGAACCATTTTATTACACAATCCAGAAGGAAAATCAACTGCAATCAGACCATTCGTATTGGAACACAATTATTTTACACGTTAGCATATCCACTGTTTGACAGGGCAGCCAGAAATATAGGTCTCCTGACAGTTTCTTTAATGCATTGTATTATTTCACCAAATTCTTTTCTAATCAGCCTATCTAATTTTCAGGAAGATATGCAAACTTTCTATGAAGCTGAGAAATTAAAAGCATTCAAGTAGGATCCATTTCTCTGGAAAGCAGCCATTTAAAGATGCCATTTCAGCAAGCTCAAATACCAGGTACACAGCAAAGTTCCCTGTACAGATTCAATATGTTTGTACATTGTCCTAAAGTATATTTGAACATGATTCCCACCCATCCAAGACTTCATGCTGTGACAAGCCTCAACAGTCTGCAAAGAAGGAAAAGACTCAGCTAGAGCCGGGAGAATATGCAGATCTTCTTGGAGCAGTCCGTCTCTCCCCAAGGGTTTCTGCAGGCCTGAAGAGCTCGGGCTCATCTCTGGGTAGTGTCAGCCGAGCATCTGGACAAACACATACTATCAGTGGGTTTCTATAAATAAAGTCATGCTAACATAACTCAGCGTGAATATTGCTTGCAAGATGTAAAGAAACATCCAAGCAGGCCCGCTGCTCACAGCCTCAGCTTTTATGGCTCTTCTCCAGTGAGGTCTCTGGCAGCTTCAAAGTGGCAGCACCTACCAGCAGCAGAGACTGTTGCCCCTCAACATTTATAGAGAGGCAATACCTGGTCCTCCCAGCCCTTGGAGATGACAATAGGGCCTATTATAGTTCCTAGATAATTCCTAGACTAGGAAAGAACATCCTCAAAACTGAGAAGAAACGACAGCCTTGTCGCAAAAGGTCTAACAAGAGGTGATCGTATTTCTTGTTTAAAAGGCACTTCTTTTTACTGCTGAATCCAAATGTCTTCAGTCCCATGCATTTCTGCAGTGGCTTAGACTCAGAAGGAAAATCAAGCAAGAGAATCACACCCGGTAATATGCTTGACAGACAGCTAGGTGTCACCAAGACATGACTGATGGGTGCAAGAGAGTATGCAGAGAGGGGAAGGCAGGTGGTGATAGGGCTCCCTTTTGCTCATGCACCCTCTGTGCCAATAGAGCCCAGTGCTACAGCCTGGCACAAGCAGTCATTGAGTGAGAAGCGTTACTCGTTTTTGCCTGTACCCTCTGGTGCCTGGCCACTGAATGGCCCTTCCCATCTTACATCCTCTCCTCCTTAGCTCGCATACCCTCCTGTACCCCAGAGGGTACTCCAGTAGCGCATCCTGGACTCTCACTCACAGCATGTTTTCCACGCTTGGGGAATACCTCTAATTTGGAACAGTGGGGAGCATGTTACAAGCTACCTCTACACACCTGGTAAGTGCAAGGACTAACCGTTACAGGTACACGAGCTGCCTTGCAGCCTTCTTACACACTGGATAAATGCTGTCAAACAGCCCCATGTGTTTGGCCACCCAGGAGCAGTGAAGGCAGGTTCTCCTTCCTGAGGCTTTGGCTCCTAATACTGCTGGTGCTACATCTTGTGCAGAGTTTGACCACTTCACAGGTGGATTATACTCTTTACACTCCCCTCATCATCCTGCACACAAGGCAACTTCAATAAAACAGCAGTTTAACCAAAATTGCTTTCCTGTTCCCAAAGGCTTGTGTTCTTTTTAAATGACGTGTTCCTTTGATTGGAGAAGTGGCCTTGTCAGCTTTGTCATGAAGGGTGTAAGGAAAAGGGGACAGCAGGGAATAGCTCGTATACCCCATCATTTTATTGCGTAAGTAATTTTACTACATCCACACTACTCCCAGCAGAGATCCCAGTCTCTCTCTGCGGCTTTTTTCTTTTCAGCAGCTGACTACGTCCTTATGGCTGAGTGTCTAGATAACCCCTTAGAACTCCTTAATCCCAGCTTTCAGTCCTGGGTCACAGACACTATGCAAGACTCAGGAGGCAACCAGAATCCCAGGGAGGAAACACATGTTGGTTTCAAGCCAGCCCACGAGGGCTCTCCATTCAGCTTTCAAGCTGCCAAAAGCTTGAAAAATGTAAAATGGCTTAGGCAGTGGCTAACTAATTCCTGGGAACAATCGGTGGTCCTCATATATAGCATGCATAAGTCATCATAGCAAAAGGTGAGCTAAGCTGTCAGGTAAGAAGAGGAGGGGTGCAAAGGGGTAGGGTCGCCCCCTTGATCTGCATGGAGCAGGTAATTAGAGCAATATCCCCATCTGTAGTCTTACATCTCTAGTTCCATTGTTGAAAACCCAGGCATAAGGAACTCCACCAGGCCCCTCATCATAGGAATGGCTGTAATGGTCAATGACATTTCCCAGAGAAGTCCCTTTCTTTTGAGGTAACACTTGCATGCAGCTAGTGGGAAAAGAATAAAAATGTATGTTCAATATATCACCCCAAAACTTGCAAAATCCCATCCACCTATGGGTGCCAATGACAACTTGAGTATCTACCTCCAGCAGATTGTGAGCTGAAAGCCCCCATGACAGCTATGCATACTACCCAAATAAGGAGTCCAGCAGGAAGTCTTCCAATGCTGTGGATCACTGGTGACCTCTCCAGAATCAACTGCTTTCATATCTTGCATGCTTGCTTCCTTAGGAGCATGTGAGCTTGGCTCAGATATCTTTGCAGTGCACACCTAAAAGTTTTCTAACCTGATGGTCTGAACTGGAACAATCTGCCACAAATCTTTGTTCTTCTTACGAGTTCCAGAAATTGCAAGAAATAGGAAGCAGCTTAAAAATTGCATCTTCTCAGTCCTCTTTTCATCTTCTGCGAAATACTGACATATGTGACCTATTAACTGGAGCTACAATGTGCCCGGCTAATGGACCAAGAGAGCCATACACCAGCCTTTGCAAGGCCAGACAGCTTCATACAGCTTTAGAGTCTGCTTCTATTGAGGACAAGGCCTCCAAAACCTGCAACAACAGCAAGGAAACCAAACCCAAGGCAGGTAACTCAGAATTACTTGGGTTTTGCCACGATCTAGCCTCAGAGCTGAAATGCCAGCCCCTTCTCCGGGCCAGAAGACCACCCACCCACAATTTACCACCGAGGGCCAGATCACGAGCTGCAGTGCTCTTCAGGATAACCAGCAGTAACCCAAGCAATACTTCTTCTGAACTTTACTGCTGAAAGAGCCAACTGGCAGAATATGCCTCCACGCCTCTGACGTGTCCCACCTCAGATGCCACGTGTCCTCAGGCTGCTTTTCTTGAGAGCCTGAGGTGTGGGATGGACAAAATCACACTCGCATGGCTTTGTTGTGGCCACGAATATTTGTTTAAAAGCCATTCCCTATAATGTTGTCAGGGAGCTTGGAGGGCCAGGGGCTCCCTGTGGCCAGGTGCTGGTACCGGCAGGGCCTGCTGGTGAGGCAGAGCTGTGCCTGGGTGGGGCTGCCCCCAGCATCGGGCCCTGCAGTGGGGCTGGGGTGGGGGTCAGGCTTGGGGGGACCCATGGCCAGGCAGGGGCCTGGCTGTGGCAGGGCTGGAGCCAGCACTACTGTGGCATCGTGGGGCAGCGACTGACGGCCCCGGGCTGGGCTGAGATGGGGCTGAGGCCAGGCAGGGGGAGGCCGGGGTAGGCAGGGACAGGGAGGGCTGGCAGCACCCTCAGGGCCCAGACTAACACGTGTTTAGCTGCTGAACTGACAGTCCCTCGAGTTTAACTTCAGCAACCCAATATGTCGGCACATAAGCTACAGGAAAAACCATGAATGTGCGTGATCAAGGCAAATTCATAGTGACAGTCTCAAGTCAAAACTTACCCTCACTGCTCAGGTCATCTTATCATAATGACCACATGTTTCACCTGAGCATTGCTGTTGGCATATATACTGCATTGACTGCTCTGGACTGACAGGTGTTAAAGAGCTCTGGTTAACATGGTGCTAGCACTATACTTTTGAACTCAGGGCTGGACAGAGGCCTAAAGATTAAAAGCAGAGTACAGTGTACTAAGAAGGTCAAATATCACACGGACCCATTCAAGGAGACAAGAGGAAAGTACTGTAACACCATGCAACAGTAGCATGGCAAACATTTCTTTTCAAGTTCATACTCAAACACACAAATGTTAAAGAAAACAGGAGGAAGCCAAAAGGTAGTAAGGAGGAAGATGAGATTGCAAGCTTCACAAATCAAACCAGCAAGCATTTGCTAATGCACAAGAGCTATCATATATAGCAGTGCTCAAAGCAGGAGAGAAAGCGTAGGGTACCATATCTCAGGCTAGTAAAACCATGCATGAAGGAAAGATGATCTATAACACAAGATAGTTTATCTATGAAACTAAAATGGTTGCTGTATTGCCCTGAAGGCCACCAGGATCCTTCTGTTCCTGTCTTGTGATAAAAAAGGCTTCATTGTGTGTGCTGCATCTGCCCCTCAACATCCTTCAGAGGCTAGAAGCCTGGAGAGGTGGAGCAGCCAGTTTTATAAATAATAAACATGATATTCTCTGAATACAGAGTTTCCAGTTGCAATACCCAGTTGTAAGATCATCAATAGCACTACAGGACTTCCCACACACAAAAGTCTGAGACAACCTCCACAAGGAACTCAG